AAGCCACTAGAGAATGCCACTGCTTTTTGGGTGAAGAGGCTTTTTAATAGTAAAACTACTGACCAATCACAGCGAGCTCCGCTCCCAGAGGGGCTGTTAGATTTGATGTTCCAGTATCACAGGGAGGTCATGAGGTGGTCAGAGTTTTGCTCTGAAAGTAACAATGTTCCTTCAGAACTATATGTACTTTCAATTATGCAAAGTTAAAACTACTGAAAATACATCTATCATATCTTGCGGTTCACCAAGAATCCAAACGTGATACATCTAGCTCGTACGGTTACAAAGATAATGCAGTTTTGGGATATATGATTATATAACAAGCTGGTAAATTAAAGAAGGACTTATCCAACTGTTATTACACTTTGGAGTATTTATCAGGACATGATATAACACAACATTTAACAACTAAACTTAACATAAGATAATAAGGCACATCCTGTGGTGCCGTCTTCACTGTTCATTCATAAGTTCAGTTGTTAAGTCCAGTTGTTGCATGCCACAGGAAATGAGGGGTCAGCAGAGCAATACGTTAAGCCCGGGGCACTTTATTGCACCTGGCCATCTGTTAAGGTCTGCGTGGTTGAATGTTTTTCTTTGTCTTTCCCCAAAAGCTTCTTTATGTTAGATCCTCTGAAGCTCTGATAGGTGTGATAAGGAATCTCCTAAGTGGGCTCTGCTTGTCCTGTCTTTGGCTCCTCCGAGTCTGCAGAGCTGATTTACATGGCCCTGTGACCTGCAGGATAGTTCTGTCTTTTTTATGGCATGTGACTTGGGTGCTGGAAAGTTCAAATTAAGTTTTTTGAATCCTTTTGGGCATCTGTGTCTGTCCATATCCTACATATATTAGGGTTTGAAAAAGTTGACTTTTTTTCTTTAGAGCTGTTTTTCAGGTTGTCCAAAAGGCTGTACTACGAAGCGAGGTTAGTGGGTTAGCGAGGTATGTTGAGCTTAAAGCCAGAGTTTTCAGTATCACGAAGGTGGCTCTCTGGGGATCAATAAAGTTTTATTCTGTTCTATTCTATTCTATTCTTTTCACCTAGTTAGAGCTCCATGGTAACTTATGCTGTGGAGCTAACCTGGTCGGGAGCAGGTTATGTTCAGCGTTTCAGATTTAAATCGGCTGGAAAGAGCGTCTCCCTTTAACCAGATCGTTTCCTGACTATTATTTCTGAGCGATACAGATTCTCAGCTGAGGAAATGTGTTTTATCTGTAAACATGCTGAGTTGTGTGTTGCTAATATCACTGAATGAAGCCGTGTTGTTACAATATCGCACAGGCGGTGAAGACTGAGACCGAGCGCTCCGCACAGGCAGTAGCTGGCTGCTGATGCCAGTTTAGGTTGACGGTCACGGTTGTGTTGCCACCATCGGCGGTGGCGGCAATGGGTGTGCAGTTTGGGGCAGATTGCGGTGTACATCATATACGACCACAACGACCGAATAGTTGGATATTTGGATGTTCGGGTCCAGCCCTACTGTAAATATCACGTTGCCATGGGAACCCAACATCTTAAATTGGCGATGCAGAAATCACATAAATATGTTTTTATGTTTGGCTCTGATTTGCTGTCAAGTCCATTTAAACTGCTGGTACTGCAGCTGATAGAACACAGATGAGAAAATGGATTATTCTACTGGTAATTATTACAGAGAATATTCAATTAATAACATTAGTTTCGCTCTGATTGGGCCAAAAATTAAAGTGATATCCTGCATTATGGGACAGTGTCAGTACTAAATGTACTTCAGTACAAGATCATGTTTGAATGTATGACGTTTAAAGTTTAACTTAATGTGCAGCTGTCAGTTGGAAATAATCGGCTGTATTGGTAAAATATTATATATTAACACGTTTAACAGTTTTCTACCAGCTTTCCTGTCTTGCACCATTTGCAGTAGCGGTGCTTTTTACTGTCATATTTTAAAAAAATATATATATTTAGGGTCCGAGCACCCAAAGGGTGCGAAGACCCTATTGGAACTGCTCGGTTTTTTATTATTTTTTGTTACAAAGAAACGCATTTTTGAGGTCCTACACGTACTCCAAACTGCACAAAACTTGGCAAGTACATCAGACCCAGCGAAAAATTTTATAATTTGGTGGAAATACACACCTCAATAGAAAAGTGGCTCCTCAGCGCCACCTTTAAAATCTCAGTGGAGTCCTGTCGGAAGCACGTTTGCCCTCACGCTACACAATTTCATAGGCGTATAGAGCTGGTCGGCACAAACAAAAAAGTCCCTTGGACCAAGCTCTAAAATGCAACATGACTCAACTGTGCCCACTACAATATTTCAACAGAGTCCCATCGTGGCTACGTTTCACCTCGAACTACAAATTCGTCACACATCTGTAACATCTTGTGATGCACAAAAAAGTCCATTCACATGTTTCTGTAAACCCAACAGGAAATCCGCCATGTTGGAACAACGGCGAGCATGCGCTCAAAAGTGGCCATTTTTGGCCATTTTCAAATCTATCTCCTCCGAGGGGGTATGTCGTTCACACCTGGAATTTGGCCAGCACAAACTCCAGGACGTGGTGATTACAAGTTATCAAAACGCTTCGCAGATGAGGCCCGGTTTGGAAATGGCGGCCCGTCCAATTTCGATTAATGGCCATTTTGTCCATTTTCACTGTGTTTTGAAATTCAATGAAGTCCTGTCGGAAGGCTGTTTCACCTACAGCAACAAGATTCGGTGGGCATATGTAGCAGGTCAGGATACACAAAAAAGTCAATTGGCGCCAAGGCCTAAACCCAACAGGAAGTCTGCCACAAAATGCCAGAATATGAGACGTGCTGTGTAACTGGTCTGTGCTCCAATTGGCCTGAAACTTTACACACGTGGTCCGAGTCTCAGCCACAGCACGTTTCCACCACGGCCGACACGCACGCCATTGGGGCTCGCCACTAAACAGCAAGTGGCTCGTAATTAGGCCACACGTGCTCCGATCTGCCTCAAACTCGACACACTGGATTACAGTCCCGCCCGGAGCACGTTTGTGCCGCACCCCAATGTGCGCAAAGGCCGACAAGCGAAGGGCGAGAACCTGTCAAATGCCGCTTGAGGCTTTATTCCTCATTGTTCTCCATTAAAACAACGTGTTGACTGAAGCGGCTGCAGACGATTGTTTCATTTTATGCAGATGAAGAGTCACATGACGCGTTAAATGCCCCTTTTTATGTGAACACGCACAGAGTCTGAGTTGACAAAGAAAGTTTATAACCACCGTCGTGATACCCGTAATCTCTGGCTGGGGCTTTCGGTTTTGTCAATGCGGCTTACACAAAGAAAGCCTGGCTATGTCAAACTTGCTTCGTATTATACCCCTCAGGTGTTGTTAAATTATAAACAAACAGTAAAAACACGGGAAAAAGTAATAATTGACATGTTGACTGTAATAAGAAAAACAAGTCAAAATTGTACACAATGTCCAGATCAGAAATGTGTATTTTTACAAATAGCAATGCTTTTACAGTGTGACTGGAGCTGTGTTTATACAAGTCTCGTTTATAATTAACAAATCAAGTTCAATGGCTTCCATTAATATCATGTTTACAGTATTTACCTGTGACATTTCAGCTTTTGCCTTGCCAACTAATATTTGAAAAACAAACATAGCAATATTAAAATGTCGTGAATCTGCTTCTGCTGTGACTTGGCTTTAAAAATACAAAAAAAAAACCATCAACAAACAAAAATGTCAGCATTTTACATGAATTACGCATGGCCTTAAAAAAACTGAAAGTCATTGTGCAGACATTGGGAAACTACTTTTAGTGTACAATACTTGTGAAATCAAAAATTACAGTACTTTAAGTTAAGAATTAACTGCATGTTTTGGAAAACAGTGGTTGCCCTGATAGTAAACTAACATGAATTACTCGAAATATTAAGAAAGATAAATCAGACATGAAATACCAACCCAGTTGTTCAAGTTGCCCAAGTTAAATACAAGTTAAATACAATTAGTTACTATTGATGCATTCACAACACAAATGAGGAAAAACTGCAGAAAAATACATTCATAGCTTCAGAAATACAAAGAGACTTTGTTATCCATTTGCTTTTGCCAGTGTGAACTCTCAGTGTGACGATTAAATTTAAATTAGCGTTCAGGGAAATATTGTGTTGCAATAGAGAAACTAACAGTCCATAAAGATACGCTGTATCATAAACAAAAACAACTCAGTGGAGTCGAGAAAGGATCATTTGGAGGGTTTCATTGCAAACTTGTTTTGAATCTATATTGTACTAATTTTACCTCTTAAATTAATTCAAATTTGAAGCAGTTAACGTAGTGTTGCAGCAACAAGAGACACCTTTTGGAAACAGTAATAGCTCTCTATTTGTACGAGGAGGTGTTTGTGATTTAAAGTATTGTAATAAAACTCTCCTCTTTCTAAAACTACATTCAAAATGACACAAACAGCATAGATCAGCCTCTCAGAGGATTACGAAGACTCCCCCTCAAGTCAGTTTTGACACAATATTTCTGGCAAATGACGAGACAGATTTAAATAACAGTGACCCCGACCTCACTGCTCCTTGTGGTTGCCGTCGTCCTGGTGTGGCTCTGCAAAGAGTTGCATCTTGCTGTTAACCTGCACACAGAGGTAGGATAAGTCCTGCTTGTCCAGAGAGTGTGCCAGGACCAGGTAGGCCGACAGCGTCCCCGCCAGCAGCAGCCTGTCCAGGGATAAGGCCGGCAGAAGCCACAGCACGACGCCCATCTCCAGGCACACTGGGTGGCGGAGGTGAGACAGAAGTCGCTGGCCACCAGGTGACTTGTGAGACAGGGGGTCACCTAAACTGAGACACTCGTAATACACCTGAGAGAGGACAGGGTGAGATTTGTGTCTTCGTATTCATAGGTTCATAGCATTTTTGTATCAGCTCTGACTTTCCGACCTCTGGGTGCAGAACTACACCTCTGCATGTGCTTCCTACCTGTTTGATGCCCAGCAGTTCTGGGTAATCAAAAATCATGAGGATGCTGCAGATGATCGCCCAACAGAGGAAGTGCAGCGTGAAGCAGAGCAGAGGGAACCAGATGCTCCAGGGTGCATGACGAACCGACCACAGACACGGGGCGCTGGTCACAGGCTGCCAGTATCGCATCAAAATCTAACACAGGTAAAAGAAAAAAGTCTGAAGTACGTGAGGCAGTTAAAGGAAGCAACACGTAATTATGGTGTGTGCTGCTGTACCTGAAGTGCCAGCGCAGTAGAGAAGCAGTACGCCGTCCTGTTCAGGGACCCGAACACTGACTGGAGGGTCTGTTTGACCGGAGACCAGGCCATCAGACTGTGCTGTGTGGTGAACAGAACCAGGAGTCCCAGATCCACCACAAGAGACCTGAGGACTGAGCCGTCCTGCAGGGCCTCCGACCACGACATGGAGTCTACAGAGTGGGTGAATCAGGGGAACCAGAGGAGGTGTTTCAGTATTGTTAACTGACTTTTATTGGGTTTGAATTGGGTTTTTAAGTTCACGTATAACACTGAAAAACACAAAACAACAAGCTGCACATTTCAGACAATGAATAAGAGGTAGTTGTGCATATACACTATATCACAAAGTGAATATACCCTTCACATTTCTGCAAATATTTTATTATATCTTTTCATTTTTTTTACATTTTCACTTGGGGGTGTATTCACTTTTGTTGCCAGCGGTATAGACATTAATGGCTGCGTCCTGAGTTATTTTGAGGGGATAGTAAATTTACACATTATACAAGCTGTACACTGACTAGTAGAGCTGCAACAAGGGATTATTTTAGTAGTCAACTAATCTGTCTATTATTTTTTCGATTAGTCCCGGTTATTTCTGTCACGCCCTGTATCTATGCTTCCTGTTGACGCAGCTCTTTTTACAGGCTCCAGTGCAAGTTTTACCCCACTCTGTAAATTTGCATCCCATGAATGTCACCTGTATTTCCAGTCAGTCACAACACAACATAATGTCCTTAAGTAAATTAAAAGAATGATTCCTGAACCAGTTGAATATGAAGTTTAAGTTGAAAAGCTTACTCTTATTTATTTTAACACATCCAAACTTTGCTGTATTGTTATATCCAAACAATACAGAATTTAGCTCAAGAAGAAAAAAAATAAAATAACATTTTTTTCATTGTACAAAATGAGGTGCAAGAGCCTGTCTTCGCCTTGAATTTCTAAAATGGCAAAATCGAAACAGAAAATGAGGCTAAATTAGTTATCGGAAAATGTAGGCTACCACACCACAGCACATGCATAGTAAGTGAATTAATCCATTTAACTGTTTCAATGTTACCAAACAGTATATAGGCCTAGTCTGATACTTCAACCCACAGAGCTAAAACCTAGGCTCGGTAGGTGAAGTTGGGGGAAAAATCAGATACTTTGGGACTAACTGTAACCATTTTTAAGCCGACTGACTGAGACCCGCTACATTTTAATGATGTTAGCATGTGCTGCTGTCGTCTTAATAAATGATTACATTTGCCGAAGCAGTAGGCTTCTTGTTTTGTGTGTCTTTGTGACCTTAAAAAATGGTTACAGTTAATGTTAGCACTGTCAGGGAAGCTGTACACTTCTATAATTTAGCGTTGTATTGCACGTAACACATTAGTTTTCATGAAATGGCCTCGAAATGATTAATGTCATCCTGAAGTACGTAGCCTGTTTCTCGCAAGGTAAACAAAAATACATACTAATGCTAATTTACCCATCTGGAACGCTGGGAGCCATGACTCCGGGGTGCTTTCATTTCAGATGCTCATGCATGACTGTCGTGCTGCCGTGGTATGCCAACTCTGCGTGGCAGACTGCACATTTCACCTGTTTTGACACTTTATTAAACTTGAAATGCAGTCGTGACTTGATAATCCGACCCTTCACAATCTGAACGGAACCCATAGCCTTAACATACCGACAGCCTTGGATTCCAACTCTGACATGACATTTTATGTCACAAATAAGGATATTTGTGACATAAGTCATATTATCTGACTTAATCCGACAGATTGACTGCAGACTGCAGGACTTAATGATCAATTCTGTTTTTTGTGAAATACAATTTTTTGCAAGTTCGTTCACATTTCCAATTAAATGCGAGTTGTAGGTGATCTGCTGTGTGAACTTCATACGACCCAAAAGCGTCCCACATGTGCAGAAGAGGACACAACAACGTCACACACAGCAAGCGTGGTCAGTGTTTAAGGAATTAAACACGGATGGTAACGATGGAGCATATCTTGCCCGCCACTCTCCCACCGCTGCCGCCGTTGTTGCCATCAATGGCTGGAAACAGAACTGTGACCGCTAACTAAACTGGCATCAGCATACAAGTACCGCCTGTGTGTTTTGGCCACTTTCACCCCGGGGGTGCACTGGAATTGGCCGGAATGTGCACAATTGCACCAGTCAATTAGGCGTGAAATCCAGCGATGCGTAGTGTTTTACCAATACACAAGGTATTACAACAACTATAAAGACTAAATATTAACAACAAATCACCCTTGAAGCATCAAGCCCTCCTTGTATCTCGACCTCCGTCTTGACAATCCGACAGCCTTACTATGCGACAGAAAAGAAGGTTTTACATTTAGTGTTGGATTATTGAGTCACGACTGTATTCCCAAACTTAGGAAAGATGAGGCCTCATCTTGACGTCACTCTGACCCTTCTCAGCTTGCTTCGCCATCGGTCTTGAGTTGTTCTTCGTTGGCTGAGAACACAGACGCTGCAAATAGTGACAGTACTGCCCCCAGCATTTCTTGTGGTGCATTGCAGTCATTTGCGTAGAGTTGGGACTTCTCATACTGTCTGGAAAGCTATTGTTGGTAAGGACGGTGTTAAGATGCCTGGTGCAGTGTTTTGTTATCAAAGCCCTTACAGGACGTTTATAATGCGACGCGGTGACAATGAAATTTCGAGTCGATGAATTTTTATTGTCGACGTTGTCGACTAATTGTTGCGGCCTTACTGACTAGTTGACATTGTAGCAAAGCGTAGTTTCTTCAGTGCTGTCTCATGAAAAGATATAATAAAATATTTGTAGTATTCACTTTTGTGACATACTGTATACTTAATTTAATAGCCTGCACTAAACCGTATGTGCACATTACACCGTTCCAACTAGTGTAAATCCATATCAACACATTATACAGAGAACAGAAACTGTTCATAAGAGTTCAGGAGTAGGACAACAGCAGTGTTGCCAATGAGCCACTGAGAACACACCAGCAGTGTTCACAAGCACTCAAGCGTTAACAATGCAACAGCAATATGATAAATAATCCTCGAACCGCTTCGTCCTCTGGAGCCAAACTGAATGACTGAATGTGCTGAATTCAGACAAAATGTAATATAAATTATTACTGAACAATTGCTGTGTTTCATGTCTCTGGAAAAGGTTTGTGCTTCTACTCAGGGTAAGTCACAACACAGGGCTCAAATTATTCCTGCTCCTGCATAACCAAGGTCAAAATTCAGGGTATTTGAACGTGCAAAATAAACAGCATGTTCAGTTTTGAAGTCAAAGCAAAACAAAACAAAAGCATTAAGTTCAATATCAAGCTATTAGGTGAGACAAAAAAAAATCGAATAAGATGATTAACAAGAAATTATATTTTTAGTTTGTTTTTGTCTACACATAGAACACAATTTGCAGGCTCTCTTGAAACTTTAAAACCAGGCACATCTTTTTAAAATCTAGCTTTCTTCTAGCACCACCAGTTACAATATTTGTTATTTCATCTGATATACACCTGCTTGCTTTTCACTGTTACTGACTGCTTTTACTGTTATTGTTTTTTCATTGTTTTCATTTTTAATTTGAATATTAAAGCACTTTGAGCTGCATGTGTTGCGCAAAAGATCTGACACAAAATATTATTAACATTTGTTGGTGAAATATCTGTTGAGAAAATGTCTCAGTTTTTTTATTCACACAATTCCATATACCCAAATTAAACCTTTGCTGTCTTCATGCCCAACATCAAATCCTACCTGGAGAACAGTTTATGACCAGGATGAGTGAGGTCTGTGATGATGTTCCCTGCCCTCTTTCTGGTTCTATTGGAGTACAGTTCCTGGATAGAGGGAAGGGGGGTTCCGATGATCTTCTCAGCTGTGCGCTGCAGTCTGTTTCTGTTTTGCAGTATGGCTGCTCCAAACCACACAGTGACAGAGCTGCACAGGACAGCTTCGATGACGGCAGTGTAGAACTGAATCAACAGTTGATGTGTCAGACTGTGTCTCCTCAGCTGTCGCAGGAAGTACATCCTCTGCTGAGTCTTTTGAGGATGCAGCAGATGTTCTTCTCTCACCTCAGGTCCTGGGTGATTGTAGTCCCCAGGAGCTTGAAGGACTCTAGAGCTGACACAGGGCTGTTGCTGATGGTGAGGAGGAGCATTGGCAAAGGCTGTCTCCTGAAGTCCACTCTCATCTCCACAGTCTTGAGCTTGTTCAGCTCCATGTTGTTCTGGCTGCACCAAAACACCAGCCACTCAACCTCCTGCTGATATGCAGACTCGTCACCATCCTGGATCAGGCCAATGACTGTAGTGTCGTCTGCAAACTTCAAGAGTTTAACAGCTGGGTGCTTGGAGGTGCAGTCATTGGTGTAGAGGGAGAATAGGAGACAGGACAGATCCCTGAGGGACACCAGTGCTGACAGTCCTGGTTGTAGAGGTAATGTCCTCATCCTCACCTGCTGACTCCTGTCTGTCAGGAAGCTGGTAATCCACTGACAAATGGATGGAGACACACTGAGGAGGTGGACAGGATTCCAGGGATGATGGTGTTGAAGGCCGAGCTGAAGTCCATGAACAGGATCCTTGCATAACTCCCAGAGCCATCTAGATGTTGCAGGATGTAGTGCAGCTCCAGACTGACTTCATAATCCACTGACATGTTTGCCCAATAGGCAAACTGAAGAGGGTCCAGCAGGGGACCTATTATGGACCTCAGGTGGCTCAACACCAGTCTGTCAAACAACTTCATGACCACAGATGTCAGAGCCACTGGTCTGTAGTCATTCAGTCCTGTGATGGAGGGTTTCTTGGGAACCGGTTTGATTGTGAAATGTTTGAAAGTAGAGGGGACTTCACATTGCTCCAGGGACCTGTTAAAGATTGTGGTGAAGATTGGAGCCAGCTGGTCAGCACAGGCTTTCAGACAGGAGGGTGATACTCCATCTGGGCCTGGTGCTTTCCGGATTTTCAGCCTCTGTAAGAGGCGGCTCAGTTTGTCTTCATGCACTGAGTGTGACGGGGGGGCAGTTTAGAGTGCAGTCTGAGGTGTGACAGGGGTTGTTGGTGTGGTTGTGTTGTGGGTGAGATGTGGGCTGTGGAGGGTGAGAGGTGTGAATGTGCCCCTCTAAAACCTGCAGTAGAAGGAGTTGAGGTTGTTAGCCAGGTCTTTATTTGCCTCAGCAGGGGGGATGGTCTCCTGTAGTTGGTGATGTGTTGAAGGCCTCTCCACACTGAAGCAGGGTCGTTAGCTGAGAACCGGTTCTTCAGCTTCTCATACAACCAAACTGGTTCCAGTGCTAGTTCCGTGCTACTGCCTGACTTAGCACCAGCTCTTTGTGTTTCCACCACCTAAGCACCGGCTCCAGGCTCTCAAAATTGGTGCTTAACAAGCACCAACTCTTTGCTGGGCCAGAGCCAAGCACCGAGTACGTCAGGGGCTGAGGGCAGGGTTATTGTGACCACCGAGACCGATGAATGAATGAGACACAAAAGCTTTGTGATTTGTGTTGTTTTTCGCCAGGACGTCCCTGGTCCGATCACAAATGTATTGGAATGAGTCCAGGGACACATGGAAGTTTTGCACAAACTGTTGCGCCCTGAAAGCCAGTACAATTGTGTCCCACCAGCAGTACCACAGTGATGGAAAACAGTACTTTGTGGTATTTACGCTTAGAAATGCGGTCTTCTCATGAAAAACGTAGCGCACCTACGTGCGCTGTTTATCCCGCTCGTAGAGTCATTTTTGGTCACACATCAGTCTGAGCACCTTAGCCACCAACAGCAGCTACTGCAGCCTGCTATGTGGGGCGTTTGGGGAACATCATAAATTGTAGCGTCTATCGATAAGAAAATGATCAGCAAGTCATATGTTTTGCCTGTAACAAGGTGAGAAGTGCGAACAAATGAGAAAGTTGGTCACACTGGTAAAAAAGTTAGTCTGGAGTCCTGTGTGGACTTCTGTGTGGCGCGAGCATTGTTCGGTAAACGGGTATGCAGTGATGTATGTTGTGGCTCTAAATTGGCTCCTTGTCAATGGAAAAGCAACTGGTTCTTAGATTGGAACTAACTAAGCACTGGCCCTAGCACCAGCACGGAACTAGCACCTGGTGCTTCTGGGTGGAAAAGGGGTATCAGAGTAGCTCCTCTAAGCCACTCTGATCTCTTTGCTCAGTGTGTTTAAAAGAGTTTATAAAGAGCCTAATGGAATAACTTCAGTATCTAATTGTTTACAAATTATATTAATTTATATTCTTCTTTTCCTTCCTTTATTAGTATTATGGCCTGCACACAAATCAAGCACACATCAGCTTATTACAGTTGTTGCAAAGTTTTTCTTTCTTTAAATTAAGGTTACAGGAAAACCCAACAGTTCCAAATTATTATGCAAATTATATTTTTCTTTGATTTTCCTAAATAGTTGATGCAAATGACAGTCAGCATAATTTTCAAGTCATCAAATGTTAGAGTATAATTCAAATGTTATTGAACAAACCTCCCAATGATAGCAGTATTTTTTTCAAAAATAAAAAACTTAAAATGCACTGTTCCAAATTATTATGCATAACAGAGTTCCAAAACATTTTATAGGCTGTAAAGAACTGAAAATGGTCATTTGTTGAATTTGCAGCATTAGGAGGTCATATTTACTGAAATCAAAAGCTATTTCAGTCAAAAACATCTTAACATGTCGTTACATTTTAATATAGAATCCTTTATTTGATAGCAGCTTCATAATTCTTGCATCCATTGAACTTGTGAGATTTTGGAGAGTTTCCGCTTGAATTTCTTTACACAATGTCAGAATAGCCTCCCAGAGCTGCTGTTTGAATGTGAACTGCCTCCCACCCTCATAGATCTTTTTCTTGAGGATGCTCCAAAGGTTCTCAGAAGGGTGAGGTCAGGGGAGGATGGGGGCCACACCATGAGTTTCTCTCTTTTTATGCCCATAGCAGCCAATGATGCAGAGATATCCCTTGCAGCATGAGATGGTGCATTATCATGCATGAAGATAATTTGGTAACAAAAAGCACGGTTCTTCTTTTTGCATCATGGAAGAAAGTGGACATTCAGAAACTCCACATACTTTTCAGGTCATTTTCACACCTTCAGGGACCCTAAAGGGGCTGACCAGCTCTCTGCCCATGATTTCAGCCCAAATCATGACTCCGCCATGTTCTTGCTGACTTCACAGCCTTGTTGGGACATAGTGGCTGTACACCAACCATCCACTACTCCATCCATCTGGACCATCCAGGGTTGTTTAAGTTTTCGTGAAATATCTAAGACATTCATACCTTGTCCAAGGCATTCAGCTACTTCGTGCTTTTCAGCAGCAGAGAGATCCTTTTTCTTTCCCATATTGCTTGAAAATGGTGTTCGGCTTAATAATGTGGAATGTCCTTCTTTAGTAGTTTTTCCTTTAATTGGGCTTACCTGGCAAACTATTATCACAGGTGTCTGAAATTGATTTCAGTGATCCAAAGAGCCCTGAGACACAATACCGTCCATGGGTTTAATTGAAAAGTTAAAAAATTTAATCTTTATGACACTTTCATACAATTTGCATAATAATTTGGAATGCGGTGTAGAGTGATATTTTTAATTAACAGTTATCGCCATGAAACTTCTGTAGTTGAAATATGCAAAGAATGTATTATCTATTCTAACTTTACAACCAGCAATGCTTTTGATGGACTGCACATAGAAAAACTGATATATTTAAATTGGTGTGTTATAACTACTTTGTACATTTGAAAAGTCTCTGTACAATCTAAGTTTTTTTTCAACATTTACAAGAATCTGTGTAATATAAGCATTTTCTTGCTAATAGATAAATCTGTGTAATATAAGCATTTTTTTACATACAGAATAATCATGTGCAATATCATTACTTTCTGTATCATCATCTGTGCAATATCTGCATTTCTAAGACACAATACAAGATGATGCCATGAGTCTTTGTTAATCCCATAGTGGGGAAGTTTGCATGGTCACAGCAGCGAAGTGGATAAGAAAAACATTTAAAACAAAAACAAAAACAAAAAACAGACATAAGTAGTAATTCTTTCTGTCCAAATTCCTCTGGATGTGGATAAAGTGATATTGTACATAATAATGGTGTTGCATAGATTCTTTCATGAGTAGTAATTACTGATAGAGAAGTATTAGTATTGCACAGATTGTATCTATATTACACAGATTTGTTCTTAAGTACAAAAACACTGAAACTGCGCAGATACTTGTATTGCAGAAAGATTCATATTGCAAAGAGTTTTTAGATGTGTATTCATAATTCACAGCTTTGAATGTGTTGAAATTGCACCAAAACAAAGCAAGACAGTTTTTCAGTGCTGACACATATGGAAAAATCTGAGCTCCCCACATATGTAAATTTCCACACTGTTGAATTAATAAAGGCTCATCTTACTGCAATATTGCATAAATAACCACCTAAATGTGTATTGTTTTTTTCCACTGGACAGTCTATGGAAGTAGAGTATGGTAAAGAGACATACAACTGTCTCACTAGACAGAGAGAGGGGAAAAAAATGTTGTCGCCCAACGTGGGGCTCGAACCCACGACCCTGAGATTAAGAGTCTCATGCTCTACCGACTGAGCTAGCCGGGCAGTGACACCTACTGGCCTAAAAGTGTAATATCAATAGTTCACACAGTTATTACCAAAGTTTATAAACTTTAAAGGTGTGTATGATATCATGGAACTAAAGACCCTTGTAGTGACTCGTTAGAATTTTTGTTAACTAAAAGCCGTCCATTTACAGTAAACAAGGACAATACGTGTCTAATCAGTAGTATTTATAACTCGTCCAGGGTTAGCTAACCTCTGCTTGGCCGCCTGCCCGCAGCTCTTACGGCAGCTTACCTTGGCACAGCGTCGTCTCTCCGGTGATGTTGTGGTAAATGGCTCGAAATGACACGAACTGAATGAAGTCTGCACCAGATATGAAAACAAACGCAAAGTTGAGCAGAGACGCGGTGCACAGAGCCCAGCCATGGACCGCGACTGACGCCATTTCAATCAGCGTTTATCTTCTTTTGACTTCCACAGTTCCGGGACAGAAGTCTGCGGCAGCACCGAGTGTGAATACAAGGTGGCGCTGCGGTGCGTTTCATGCTCACCTTACCACGTAGAGAAGAAAAATCTTTGCTATCCATCAGCATGTCGGCAGAAGAAGAAGCTGCCTTTTTTTTTTTTTTTTCCAAATATGGCCCAGCGGAGTAAAACATGTAAATAATCTTTAATTGCCTAAAACATGAAAGCAGCAAATGCACAGATGCAAAGCTGTAATGTTGGGACAAAGCACAACATAATTGCAGGATAAGTCGCAGTTTCATAGGTGGTTGGTGGTTGAAAGTCCGGGAGGTAAGGTTGCATGTGCAACAACCATCCCAGTGTTGCAAGATGTCAACGGGTCAAAGATTTATTTTATTTTATTTTTTATTTTTTGGCTGAAGGAGGCTGTCCACTAAAGAACTCATTTTAAATAGTGCTTTTTGTTTTTTAAGCAATTAAAGTTTTAGGGCCAAAACACATTTCTGATCTGTTGCCACCTTATGAATCATCAAGACCCCTCCTGTTACCAAACATTACACTACATTTTCATTTGCCTTGAAAAAAATATTTAGTCAAAAATGCATGTCTTAAAGTTATCTGCAAAAACAAAATTTCACTCTAATCAAAGCACAAAACTTTAAAAGGTAAAGTTACATGCAGGTTAACAAGGTATAGAGCCGGATTTGTAAAATAGGTGCTGGTTTCAGTTTAAAATTAAAGACTTTTTATGTGCATCTATGTCTATCTATGTATATGTATACGTATGTGTTTGGTTTGCAAAGGTGCCCCACATTTACAAGCTGCTGAGGCCCAGAAGAATAAGATGAGGAGGTTGTGAGCAATCCTGGGAAGTTAGTTTGTATTTTAGAGAAGGTCCAGACTGCTGCTGCTGATCCACTTGCACTAAATGCCCTGTGATCAAATCTCCCACAGCCAAACAATCATTTATTTGACCTTATCAAACTCCAATTCACTACGTTTAAACCAAGGGCTCGAGTCCATGCACTTTTGCGCTCCACTTGTTTTCTGAAGAAGACAGACCATGCCATCTGTACACTTAAACAAAGCAAGAGTCCTGTTGTCAAGAGTTAAATAATTTTTTGGGCAAAAAATAATAAATAGAGAGCACAACAACGTTTAAAACTGCATGCAGTCACTTTATTAAGAAGTTGTACAAAATGTTACAGTTACAAGTAAAGGCTGCTGTGCTCAAGTGAGGTTAACTTCTCCACTGCAGTTATGGTAGATTAATTGTAGCAACTGGACTTGCTTGAGTTCCTTGAAGACGTTTCACCTCTCATCCAAGAGGCTTCATCAGTTCTGACTGACTAGTTGGGAGTTCCAGATACTTATATCTTAAAGGAGCCATTAACATCTGAGTTTCGGTTTCAATTGGGGGTTTGTTGCTCCTCCCCCTCCTTATATGGGTGTTAGAGCGGTTGTTTAGTCTCCCCGATGTACAGATCTTGGCATTCCTCGCTGCACTGGACTGTGTACACAGTGGTGTACTAGACCACCATTTTGAGCCATATTGCCTTCTTTTGCATTTTGTTGCAACATCTTTTGTGTCTTGTTAAGGTCAATTTGGGTCAGATTTGAGATATTTTGCATCTCTTTGAAGCTGTTCTACATCTAATTTAATATGAACCATTCTATAAAAAGTAGGCACAAACATGCAAAGAATAATTTTTTGTCTACATGGTTAAATTTTGGACAATTCTTGTCCCATTTTGGTCAAATTGTGTTTCATTTTGACCCTTTTCTTTTTCTTTTATAGTTGTTTACATTTCATTTGGTCATTTTGCACCATACTTTGGTTATTTTGCATCTCTTTGTAGCCATTCAATATCTAATCTAATATGAATCATTCTATATAATTGTTACTAAATTAGGTGGTTTGCACAAACAAGAAAAGCAGATACAATCAACAAACGGAGGGAAATGATCAGAAACATTTCTCATCGAGCTGAATTTGCTATGGTTCCTGTTGGGAAATGCACCGGAGGCTCACTTCTGTTGGCAATATCGTCATCCTGCAGGCGGCACAGCAGGGCGCCTGGACCCTGAAACCAAGAAGAAGTCTCAATGAAAAGGTCACAGAAACTGAAGCATGCAGTGGCTGTGGGTGTGGCTCATCTCAGTGTAGCCTGAGAGAACCAGGGTTTCCCCTTTTCTTTCTTCTACATGTGAACTAAAAAGGGTTTGGCCCATTGTCCTGCAGGAGACGCTCACCTGTGGTAGTCGCTGACGCAGTAAATCCTGCAGTCTGAGTCCACAGCGAAGCTCTGACCCTCCAGCTTCTGTCTGTAGATGACACAGAGAAAGCAGGACGGGTGGTACGATTTCCCCCGAGCCTGCAGGACCTTGTCTCTAAAGAGACAAAAAAAAGAGGAGAAAATCTTGTCCCATTTTGGTCATTTTGTGTCTCATTCTTTACGGTTGTTTACATTTAATTTTGGACAATGTATGCCATATTTTTGTAATTGTGCATCATGTTGTTGCAAATTTTGAGTCATTTTGTGAACATCTGAGATATTTTGCATCTTTTTGTAGCCATTCTGTGTTTGATCTAATATGCATCATTCATACATTCATTCATGCATAATTGTATGCATAATTGTACCAACTTTACCTGAGCTATATTATTCTTAACAAAATTCAGAGTGATTTAGGTGAACAAGAAAATCACAAACAAGCAAAGACTAAAAAGCACAGTGGTGAAAGTTGAAAATAAACAATAAAAATAGTAAAAGAAGTGCAGCAATAAACAGTGGGAAGATAAAGTCATTGTAAGTATGCAACAGTTGGCAGGTAAAACCAGAAAGCATAATTGACACTGACAATGACAAACGCAGTAAAAAACATTTTACACACATTCATTTTATGTGAACTCACTGCAAACACTGCAGGTGAGGCATGCGTCATGGAACAACTGTCCCATCGCCCTACAATCTGTCCCTGCACCGAGCACCGCTTTACTGCATCTGGTGCAGCTTCCTGAACACACACGAAGAAGAAACACAACGAAGTAAAGACTGACAATAAACTCACACAGGCTGAATCAGTCTTATCCTGCAGCAAAAACACTACGTTAGACACATAAACATTCTCCTTCCTACCAAAGTAAAGGCTGCTGCTGCAACTTGGGTCCATCTCCTGCAGTGTTTCTCCCAGTTGCCTGTCACGACTGTCTGAGCATCTAATTTTATGTGCAGCGCCAACAGCTGTAAGTGGCGCTGCTCTCTCGGTTTATGGCCGTTACTGTCAGACCCTCTGACTCCTCCACAGCAGAGTGGGTGTCCACAGACCAAGACAACTGCTGTGAAGCCTCAACTCCATCAGGGCGGAGATTAGTTCAGAATCTGCACTATTATTATCAAATTTTCCTTAAAATAGAGGCTGTGAATTACTGAAGAATTCTTTCTATCCTTTACTTAAGTGGAAGTAGAAATAGTCACAAATAAAAGTCCATCCATCCATCCATCCATCCATCTCCTTCCACTTATCTGGAGTCGGGTAGCAGCCTGAACAGAGCCGCCAAGACTTCCCGATCCGCACACACTTCCTCCAGCTCTTCCGGGGGGACCCCTAGGCATTCCCAGGCCAGTCGAGAGACATAAACTCTCCAACGTGTCCTGGGTCTTCCCTGAGGCCTCCTCCCGGTGGGACGCAACTGGAAAACCTCCCCAGGGAGACGTCCAGGAGGCATCCGAAAAAGATGCCCGAGCCACCTCAACTGGTTCCTCAGCCTACCAGAGCAGCAGGTCAGTTTAGGTCCTCGGCACCCAGAGAGCCTTAATCACGTCACTGACTTCCAGGCTGATCGGTCAGCATCGTATGTGACCAAGACGCCGCAGCTTTTTAACAGTGAGGATAATTAGCATGTTTCTGTAGTTCGTTGGGCCTCCTGTTTAATGTTGTAATACTACACTGTCCCAAACTGTTAATTCCTGCTTCTTTCTTTATATCATTTTCTGTGTATGTGTTTGTACATGATGGGTTTTGTGAATCGGTGGTGCTTTGTTTTTCTACACTAGTGTGATTATTACTATTTTTTTAATCATGTAACTGTACCTAGCTGGCACCTTTGTACATCTTTGATGATTATGAAAATATTTTATACTTTACAACAGAGAAAAAATATATCTAAACATATTTTTCAGGGAGTGCCCAGCCACCCTGCGGAGGAAACTCATTTCGGCCGCTTGTAACCGCGATCTTGTTCTTTCGGTCATTACCCAGATCTTATGACCATAGGTGAGAGTAGGAACGTAGATTGACTGGTAAATCGAGAGCTTTGCTCCCTTGCTCAGCTCTCTCTTCACTGCGACGGTCCACTACAGCGACCGCAACACTGCAGATGCCGCACTGATCCGTCTGTCAATCTCATGCTCCATCCACCCCTCACTCAAGACCCTGAGATACTTGAACTCCCCCACTTGAGGCAAGGATTCTCCACGGACCCGGAGAGGGCAAGCCAGCTTTTTCTGGTCGAGAACCATGGCCTCTGATTTGGAGGTGCTGATCCTCATCCCGCTCGCCCCACACTCGGCTGCAAACCACCCCAGGGCACGCTGAAGGTCCTGATTTGATGAAGCCAACAGAACAGCATCATCTGCAAACAGCATGAAAACAATGAACAGTACTGGTGACAAAGGGCAGCCCTGGCGGAGGCCAACGCGCACTGGGAACAGGTCTGACTTACTACCGGCAACGCGAACCATGCTCCTGCTGCGGTTGTAAAGGGAACGGACAGCCCTTAATAGAGGACCCCCTACCCCATACTTCCAAAGCACCCCCCACAGGATGCCACGAGGAACATGGTCGAACGCCTTCTCCAGATCCACAAAGCACACGTGTACTAGTTGGGCGAACTCCCATGAGCCCTCAAGCACCCAATGAAGGGTATAGAGCTGGTCCAGTGTGCAGGGACTGGGACGAAAACCAGACTGCTCCTCCTGA